AAAAAGTGTTGACTAGGGAAATGGGTGAGATAGCTCAGCAGACTAATGCGCCTGCTTAGACCAGCTCAGGAAAATGCAGGTACCTGGTACCACACACACACACACACACACACACACACACACAGTGTTCACTGGGATTTTTCCCTCCACATACTCCTTCCTTGGATTTTATGGGTTTACTTTTATTTGTTTGTTTTTTTGGCCGACCTGGGGATTGAACTCAGGTCCTTGCACTTGCCAGGGAAGCGCTTATTCCACTGAGCCATCTCCCCAGCCTGGGTTTACTTTTAAAGTCATTGATTTTTTTTTTTTTTTTTTTTTTTTTTTTTGTTAATTTCAGCTGCTTTGTTTTTCCTGCTTTCTTTAATTTTTTTACCTTCTTGAGTTGGATGCTTTATATCTTTGCTTGTTATAAACAAGGCTATGAATTGTTCTTTAAGCACTGAGTTAATTGTATCTTAAAATGTATTACATGGGGGCTGGTGAGATGGCTCAGTGGTCTAAAGCACCTACTTAGAACAAGCTTAGCAAAGCACAGGGACCGCGGTTCAATCCCCCAGCACCACATGCCAGCCAGCCCCGCCCCCTGGTGGGCTGAGCTGGCCACACACACACACACACACACACACACATAAAAATAAAAAAATTTAAAAAAATGTATTACATGTAGTGTTTTACTATTTTCTTAATTACCCTGCAGTTTGGTATTTTATTACCTTTTCTTTTTTTCCATAATTTTATTGAGAAACAAATAGCAATGAGACAGGTTCAAACCAAATTGGTAGGACAGTTTCATGATTACCTTTTCAACTCAGTAATTTTAAGGTAGTTTTATTGTGCTACTTGTCATTTCTAGTGACATTGTATTGCAGTCCAGAAATTTGCTCTATGTATTTATTTTACTTTATTTTAAGTAATAAAACCATATTTACTTACAGGATCACTGTATTTTTATAATCTTTGTAGTTTATTGTTCTTCATGGGGTTGTGTACGTGTTAACTTTTTATGACTGTCATAGGATTTGTCAAAGAAGTGTTACACTATCTGCTGTGAAGGCATGATGTTTTGCTTTTTTGTTTTTTGTTCTTTTTCTGTTCAGTTGGTATACATGTTTTGGTACAATATGGATTGGTGTATAAATTTTCGTATTATATCTTTTTAATTATCTTTGTAACTGAAGTACTTATCTTCTATACTATTCATGAATTTTCTTTTGCATGACGATAATACTATTTCATTTCAATTTTCTTGGCATTTCTTGGTGACACCTTTTTTTTTTTTTTTTTTTTTGTGACACCTATTTCTATGTATGCTTTTTGTCTCCCAGCTTTCCTGCATTGTTTCAGGAGTACTTTATGCAGTCTTTTCTTTACCTAGTTAAGGAGACAAGTTATAACAAGTGAATTAACACTTTCCTGTTGTAACTAAGCTTATACTGGGGCTTATTCTTGGCTTTTTTATTTGATGCAGGATCTCTCTGCACAGTTCAGACTCATGTGGTTCTCCTGTCTTGGCCTGGCCTCCCCGCACGGACTGGGATTACAGGCACGTGTCTACCATGTCTGTTCTCGGGGTAGCACAGCGCATCTAGGGTTCTGGGGCCTAAGCAGCATGTGGTACCGGGATCAAACGTGGGTCCCTGCACTTGCCAGACAAGCGCTTAGACCACTGAGCTGTCTCCCCAGTCCCTTGGCTTCTTATTTTGTGTTAACCCACTTTTTTTTTCCTCCTTTCAGCGACTTCAGTGCTTTCAATACAGTTAACTTAAAAATTTTAAACTGCTTGTATGCAGTGATAAAAAAAAATATAGTCTTTTTGAAAAATTCATATTGCAGTAAAAGATACATTACCACTAAGTCCCCCCTCAAAACACCCTTGCTTGAGACACACTTTTCTCTTTATTCTCATCTTTCTCTCTCTCTCTCTTGTTTTCTTTCAGACAGGGTCTCCCTGTGTAGTCCAAGGCGGCCTCGAATTTGATGTGTACCCCAGGCTGGCCTTGAACTCCAGATCTTCCTTGCTCAGCCTCCAAGTGCTGGTGTGACAGGCATGTGCCACCATGTCCGCACTGTTTCTGAAGCAGTTGTGGAAGTCCTCTATCTCTTATTGGCTGTCTTATGTTGATTGAAAAAACTTACTTTTCATGGCTATTTTGACTTTGGAGGAGAGCCAGAAGGTACACCTCGCCAGGCCCAGCGAGTGAGGTGGCCAGATACACGCTGGCTGTCCGCAGACTCCAGCCCGGCCGCCGCATTGCCCTGTGGCTGCGCTCCTGAATTGTGAGAGAGCGCACTGAGCACCACTTCTGGACTGCAGAGTGGCGTGTGCAGGAGCCAGGGGCTATTTCAGAGGGGATTGAGGGCAGTATGTCTCTTACAGTAATAAGTTGTCAACAGTGTGAACACCACACTTTTTGGTCAGCCTTTGTAGAATGGGCAGAACTATTCAATATTTAATGTTTTCTAGAAACCCTTTACTTCCTACACATAATACAACTTATCCTTCAGTCATTACTATCCCCCCTTTATAATGTTTGAAATTCAACTCAAGGTTAATTTTATAATTGGTTACATTGTGTCAAATTTCTTTCCTTGATTTAGTGAATTTTTCTGGCTTCAGAAGAGAGTACCTTTCTCAGCCTTGTTTTTTGTGTGGTATTTTAATTTGTGGTAGGTGTGGGTTTGCTAGGTGACAGATTAGTTCTGAACTCCTAGTCTCTTACATTTAGTATTCCGTTCATAAAATGTCTTTATTTGTGTATAGGTTGTCTTCTATTTTTTGAATATACCAAAAGCATTTTCTTGTTGCTTTCTTCCATAGTTCGCGCCCTATTTGGGTATACAGTTATTAACACACTTTTTAAAAACAATGTTTAGTTTTCTGGTATAAAAGTCCAAGTGGCCAGGGCTGCAGGAGCGGCCAGGGCTGCTGCGCACACCCGTCCAGTCGCTGAGTCTGTGCTCAGGCTGGCGGCAGGCGCCTGAAGGCAGCTCCGGTGTCCCTGGCCCCTGCAGTTTCAGTGCTGCATACCGTGTCTTCCTTTCATTTGCAAGGCACTTTAGAATACTCTCATGCCTTATTGTTCTCCTTCAGTGGGGTTTTAATAGCATTTATATTTACTTACTATCCTGTCAGACACACAAAGGATGTGTGTCGTTGTTACGTGCCAGGAGCTTTCAGTCGTCTGGAGACAGTTTCGTAGGTGCAGTAGCGAGGCCTAAAAAGCAGCAGGTGCACATTATTCATAAGAAGCTTCTCAGTGAGCATCAGGAAGAAGGAAAAGGGTCCTGGTCGTGGATGACTGCGATTCCGCACCGCGGCCCCCGGATGCCAGCGGGTCTGAATTTCTGTAGGCATCGAAGCCACGCTGGAAGCAGTAAGAGGCCAAGTAAGAGCTTATGTTAAAAAGTTGTGTGAGTTGTATGAACTCCATCACCAGATGCTCGGAAGGAAGGCAGGTGGTGAGTTCAGATTGTTCCACGGAGGGGACCGCCGAGCTGAGGTGAGGTAATAGAAGGCTAGGTGATTATTGTGATGGACACGCGTGAGCGGGGTGTCACAGCACCAGGCGTGTTGCAGACATTTGATCGTATCTGTTTTATTTAAGCCACAACAACAGCTTGTGTCTATTAAGCGGTTCACTGTCCCAGACGGCGGACCAGGCCCACGCTTCAGGAGAGACAGCAGGGACCCAGTCGTGAGCACAGGACTGGCTTGTTTCAAGAACTAGGACTCAATCCCAGACGGAGTTTTCTGTGCATTTACTCACCACCGGCATGGTGGTTGTGTGTCACTTTGCTTATCGCACTGCAAAGCGGTGTCCGTCTGTGACAGTGTGTTTGGCGGAATATTAAAAGTGCTGCACATGTAGGAGGTGGGCAGCCATTAAAGAGTAGCCATGCTTAATGTAGCTTCGTGTTTGTGCTTTACAGTCATTGAAACCTTCAGCCGCACTTTATCTCTTCGGAGTAGAGGCCTCATCTGTCCCAGCAGGAAGTCAGGTGCAGCCGGGTACGCAGCTCGTGCAGAGCTCCGATTGAACGCCAGGCCATGTACCATGTCATCCGTAGTATAGGAGACGGAGTGTGTTTTTGCTGATTTAAAGGCCTTTCCATCAGTTTATTATTTTTCTCTTACAGGAGTCCAAAAATAAAGTTAAAAGTTTATGATTATTTCTACTGAAGACAATAGTTTTTATCAGATTTGCTTAAAATAGCATCTAAATTATTTCTCCAATTTTGATTAGTCTCATGATTTCATTCTGTTGTCTTTGTATTTACTTCCATATTCTTAGTGTCTTATTTAGGTTAGACTATATTTTATCACTGAAAAATTTGTTAACTTTGCTGTTTTGTAAGGAAACCTTAAAATTATCTTCTACTTTTAATTTTGTCTTACAGAGATTTAAAGTAGGGACCAAATATAATTTAAGATGCAGGAGAATAAGAGTATTTACCTGAGAATTGAGCATTCCTTTGGGACACAAAATCAGTTTGGCACAAGTTGGGCACGGTGCATGCCTGTCTTCCGAGCACTCAGGGAAGCTGAGGCAGACTGCAAAAGCAGACTGCAAGTTCGAGCCCAGCCTAGGCAGTTTAACAAGACTAGCCTCAGAAACTTGAATCTCTGGGCTTGATCACCAGTACCAAAATAAAACAAGATTTGACACATTTCCTCATTGGTGAGTCCCATGGCTTTGAAATAGGTGCTTCCCATCTGACGGGAGTCTGCTATGGGGAGGACCTGGTGGCCAGAGATGCATCCTGGCCAGTGGAGACCGAGGGCCCTGCCCCTCCAGGGACGGTAGTGAGTCGGAAGAGATGTGTGCTGGCAGGGCCATCTGCTGGGGGGCCGAACTCGTGAATGGGCTATCACAGCACACGTGAAGCTTTTGTTCCATTAGGGTTGTTTGCATAGTGCTTTTGAATTTAGATGGCTTTCTGTGGAGGTACACTTTACTGGCTAATCTTTTCCACCCCTTTTCTTTTGTTGGGATTAGTGCCAGAACAGATAAAGCCCAGTGTAAGCCAGCCTCAGCCTGCCAACTCTAATAACGGCACTTCCACAGCAACCAGCACTAATAATAATGCCAAGCGAGCTACAGCCAACATTCAGCAGCAGCAGCCGCCGCAGCAGCAGCCGCCGCCACAGCAGCAGCCACCGCCGTCACCGCAGCCGCCACAGCCGCAGCAGCAGCAGCAGCCGCCGCCGCAGGCTTTGCCTCGGTACCCTCGCGAAGTACCTCCACGATTTCGCCACCAGGAACATAAACAGCTCCTAAAGAGGGGTCAGCATTTTCCCGTCATAGCAGCAAAGCTGGGATCTGCTGCTAAGGTGTTAAGCAGCCAGTCAGAAAGCAGTGCTGCAGCAGTCCAGCAGCCACAAAATAACGGAGAGGTGCAGAGCAGCCCAGCCCAGTCAGGTGAGAGAAGGCTTCTACAAGACCCGGCTCGGCGCCTTGAGCAGCGCAGCACGGGTACAAACCCACAGCTTTTGGGTGATGTATTTGTACTGTCAGGTCTGAGTTTGAACGTCTTGGAGTCCTGTTTAGGTGTTACAAACGGAGTCTTGCCGCTTCCTGTGTGTACCTGCCCGCCGTATCTTAAAAATGAAGTTTCTGTGCATTCCCCGTTCAGGCCGTCCTACTTGGTAAATTACTCATACCTCCCATGGGCAGGAGCTGGCGGCTGAACCTGTGCTGCGCATGCCCGCGTAGCCCGCGGCGGCCCTGACGCGCAGTGGTTTGTGCTCTCCTGTGCCGGAGACTGCTCTGTGTGCTTGCACTGTGGTGTCCGGAGCCAGTCCGCAGCAGAGTCCGGATCTACGTCGAGATCCGACTCCAGAGCCGGGCTTCTGGCCACTGTGCTGTGCTTCGGCAGCGCGCTGGCCGTGATAGGTAGAGGAAGGTGATACAAGTGTGAGTTTTTAGGGTAGTTACTTAGAAGAGCACCTCATTATTGGAAAGAGTACAAGTTCATCTTATCCTGAGTTCATACTTCTCTCTGCTGCCCTATTTGCTTAATATAGGTGTGAAACTGGCCAAATTCCTTGATTCTTCTTACTTTTAAAAAGTCTATAGTGGTGAAAAGTAGCATCCAACCTCATAAGGTTGCTTGGGGATTAAATTATATGACATTAAAGCAACTAGCTTACTTCCTAGTATTAGGTGCTTAGTATACAGCAGATGTTTGGTTTACACATTACAGCTAAGGCCACATGGTAGGCAGCTAGTAGTTTGAACTTAGTTTGTGAAATCAGGTTAGAAACAAATGCGCCAGTCATTAGCATAAGAAAAACTAGTTTGTCTACAGCCATACCATGCTAGATGCACCAGTCGCAGCAGCCATTTAGGAGGGCTGGCTTAGAACCTGGGTGGGAGAACAGCACGGCCGCAGCTTTGGGCGAGATTATTTCCACAACACGTGCTTGAGCGGGCAAGATGGTGTAGTAAGTAAGAAAACAACAGCGAGGCAGGGTGCTCTGCTCCGGACATTGTTCAGTATGTTTTTCAGTTTTGGAAGTAAAGGAATTAAACATTTTGAAATAGAAACAGGGTATTGGAAACTTGTTTATCAAGATTTGGCTCAGAAGAGGCCAAAGCATTGTAAGGTGGACATTCAGAAGAGACAAGGCTTCAGGTGTGGGCACAGGAGGAAGTCTCCAAGGAAGCCTGAGAAAGACGTTTCCTGCCTGATTCTAAAGGGATGTTGAAGGGTGGACCGTGGTAATGTGGAGGCCCAGGTGGAAGTCAGGGTGGTGCAGCATGCTGTCTGGAGCTCAGTCCCAGAGCAGCGTGAGAGTGCGGACACGAAGCCAAAGCATTCCCAAAGAGAGCCGACTTCTACTTCTCTCGTTTAAGAAGTCAGTGGAGGGGCCAGGGAGGTGGCTCAGTGGAATAAGCGCTTCCCTGGCAAGTGCAAGGGCCTGAGTTCAATGCCTGGTTCCAAAAAAAAAAAAAAAAAAAAAAAGTCAATGGAGACTATCTTCTTATTTTGCATTTTTATACTAAAACATTTTTGGTGTATTGTACTAGCACTGGTAATAGAAATTTTGGCTATAAAATAGTTCATCAGGAGTCATTGAATCAGAAAGAGTTCTCAGGGGAGCCAGGTCTGTCCTGGTTTCCAAGACGTACAATAACAACAATGACGTGACCTTCGTGGAGAGATCGCTGTGAGCCACACATTGTATTAGCCCCTGTAATTCTCGTGTTACACGCTGGGTGGTATCATCTTTGTTTCACAGATTGGAAAGTGGCTTAGCGGCTAACATTGTACTGGACGGTGTAAACATGAGCGATAGCTCAGAAGCATGAAGAGTGTATTTTGACAACTCCAGGTAGTCTCTACAACTACAGGAAGTGTGGGAACACATTGTTCTTATTTGTGTATATTTGTATTTAGCTTCTTTGGGCAGAGACTCTTGATGGATTGGGCATTTAAAGAATTGAAGGTGATGCAAAGAAATTCACTTGCAGTTTCCATGCTAGAAGCGTTGGCTATGTCTCCCTGGTCCTCTTCAATGCATTCTCACTTACTCGGTGCATTTAGGGGTTAAGGGTGGTGCTGAGTTGAGATTAGATTGCTGTAAGTTAGAAAACAAGCTAAGCTAAGTGCCTGTGGGGCTAGCAGGTAAGTAAAGTATGTGATCAGAGGGTGGGAATTGTGGTTAAAACATTTATTTTTACACCCCCTAAATGCCTTTATGGCTTCATTTTAATTTTCTTTGGGAACCCACCACCCTCCCAGTCACATCAGACAGTTCTCAGGCTGTTCCTTGCCCTGCCGTTTTGTGACTGTGCCTCAAACATTAATCATTGATCGATTATTTTGATCTTTTTTTTATGAGCAGAATATATTTATTGAGGGAAAGAAAGCTCCTGTCTGAGAGAGGGACAGGAGGGGGGCCCGAACCAGTAGTCCCCCTTATTTTGATATTTTTATTTTATTTATTTATTTATTTATTTATTTATTTATTTATAACAGGGTCTCACTATGCAGCTCAGACTCGGTACTGGGGATTAAGCTTGGGCCCTTGCACTTGCCAGCCAGGCACTTATACCACCGAGCTATCTCCCCAGCCCCTCCATGGTTGATGATTTTGAGATGTAAAGCTTTTTTTCCCCCAAAGTTGAACTCTCGGCCCGAGCAGGCCGCCCTGCTGCATAGGTATCCCTGAGTTGGAGTGCATAGGCCATATCATGAAGGGTTTCAAGAGAACTAATTCACTCCACAAAGTTTGGCAACAACGTTATTTATTTATTTATTTATTTATTTATTTGGCAGAACCAGGGATTGAACTCAGACCCTTGCACTTGCCAGGGAAGCACTTAGTCTACTGAGCCATCTCCCTGGCCCCCAACAACGTTATTCTTAAGATGTTTTATCTCGCTGCACAGCTCAGACTTGTACCAACCTCCTATTTCAGCTTCCCCAGGGCTGGGATTGCAGGTGTGCGCCACCACGCCCAGGGTGAGGGCTGGCACAGCATGCAGTACTGGGGGTCAAACCTGGGTCCTTAGACTGCTGAGCTATCTCTGTGGTCCTTATTTTGCTTTTTATTACCCGACTTGATACTTACAGAAAAGATTAAAAGAATTCAGTGAATATTTGTATTATGCCTTCCCTCTAGATCCAGTGGTTGTAATACAGTCCCATCTAGCTGGGAGTGCTGGTGCATACCTGTAATCCCAGCACTCAGAGGCTGAGGCAGGAGGATCACCCTGAGTTTGAGGCCAACCTAAGCCACATAGCAAGTTCAGGGACAGCCTGAACTACCTAGCAAGACCCTGTCCCTAATAAATAAATAAATGAACAAATAAATTTACATATTCTCTCATATGCATGCACGCACACACACACACATTTAATTTGCAAGAAAGTTGTGAACATCACAATAAATTTACCTTTACTGCTTTCCTTGGTATTTTCCTAAGTAGCGTTTCCTATATAGCCATTATATTGTTGTCAAAAGAATGGCTCATTTCTGATAGTCATCCCAGTAATAGTTTTTGTTTGTTCACAGTATGATTCATTTATGTAAAAGATACATAAATGCATGCAAACCAACATTTTATATTATATTTAGGGATGCATTCAAATGCATTAAAGTGTAAAATTTTACATGAGTGAGTACCACTGGCTAACCCTCTGGGGAAAGCAGAGATGTGAATCACAGGGTGCAAGAACTTTTATCCTGCTGCTCTAGTAGTTTTGGGTAGTTGAGCGTTGTTTGTGTTACTCTCTATAGCCTTTCTGTGTTTGGAATGTTCTTTGAAAAACCTGATGGCTATTTTAGGAATAATATTGAATAATCACTAGGAAATGTCCTAGCCAAAAACGCTAGCATTAAACTTTCTGGAGATGTGTGAAGACTTGAACCAGGCCACCTACCTGACTCTTGCGCTGGGCTTTTCAGATTCACTGTTGTGTGCGTATTTGCTATCTTGTGACTTCGGTTGCTGGCTCTCAACTTGAACCTTTCCGGTCATCTATGAAGTACTCCCATCTACTCTCCTTGGGGGAAAAAAAAAATTCTTCGAGGCTCATGCAATTTCTTTCCTGCCCTTCTTTTGGAGTATTTGAAAGAACCTCTGCATTTGCAGTCTTGAACCTTTGTCCGCTCTAATGTAACACCTATTCACACTGATCTTCTGAATGCCAGATGTAGACTTTCTAAAAACAAATTTTAATTGCGTTAAAAATCAGCCTTTTCTGTGTGTGTGTGTGTGTGTGTGTGTGTGTGTGTGTGTTTAGCCTTTTCTCTCTTAGTAGATCTTTTTTTCCCCTCCCTGTCAACTGCTTCCTCCTCCTTTTTAAAACTTTGTTTCTTGCCGCTGTGTACCATATGCAGGTATCTGCTATTTTTCTCTCATGCCCCTCTTCTCCCCTGTATTTGTATTTCTTTGACCAGCTCTCAAACATTATTACTTCTCTTGACAGTGTTTCCTTGTCTTCCCCCACCTCAGTTGTGGACTGCTGTCTTCTGGATGTCCCCTGTGATACAGGGCTTTCAAGATTAGCCGCATCCATGCTTCCTGTCTTATCTCTGTACCACTGTCTCCTTTGGGATTCCCTTGCCTGAGCTGTAACCAGTCTAGAATCCTCACTGGTTTACCATGCTGTGCTGATTTTTAAAGCTATTTTTCTCTTTCTCCCCTTGGTGCTGTCAGTGGCCATAGTTGAGGTGCACACTGACTGGTCTGGACAGTGCCCCAAAGGATGTCTTTTGAAGCTTTTTTTCTACTGCCCTCACCCATCTCTTAAGTCAAAGGCCAGTCATTATCCGTGCATTGTACTGGCTTGTAAGAGGTTGACTTGTGGGGCCTGCAAGATAGCTCAGCAGACTAAGGTACCTGCTTAGGCATTTGCAGAGACCACGGTTCATCCCCAGCACCACATGCTGTGCCAGCCCCACCCCTAA